TGCCGAAAGCGTAAAAATGACTAGTGCCCACCATAAGAAAAGGAAAGAAGGAAAGAAAAAAGGAATTCATTTAGAGAAAGTCGAAATAAGATCGTTGCTTTTATCTCTACATGTGCTCTGCAATTTCAAATATTCAACTTGTGATCTGTCTAGATTTAACATTTGAACATAGATAGCAACTCAGAAACTATTGAATTTAAATTCTTTCCAAAATTAACATTGCAGTTTAAAATAAACTTCAAAATCTTTCCAGAATTATAAGCGATGTTTGTATTTAAAGTATCACGTTTAATTTCAGCTAATTGCACTAATTTAAATGTATTTACAACACATGTACGTTACTTAATTCTGGAACAACACTTCAGTGTGAAATATTTACAAAAACTATCTAAACTTTCATTTTTCTACTCTTTTGCCTTTCGTGCGGTTCCGATCCATCAGCCGTTGATGGCACCAGTTCCAGAATCCTGTGACTTGTAACATTCACTCTGACGGTTATTCCCATAGCTTAGATAATATGCAGACCATGTTTCTTTAGAGCGGCTGCTTTTGGATTTCTCTCAGACATCAGCGATAACATCTTGACCACACATATGCCTCGGTGTTGGGGCTTAAGCGTGTTGATCATGCGCCGTCGAAGTATTGGCCCGTTCTCGGTTTCCGCCATGATTTTTGTGCTTGCTCCGGGAAGGCAGCGTCTCTTACTTGTCTGGGGCTAAAATTCCTGCGAAGCCTGTGGTTGCTGGGACTTGGTCCCTAGAATAGTTAGTCTGCTAGGGCTATACCAGTCTTACCTACGGCTTTGTGATGGTTGTCCTGTACATTAGTTGCTGTCCTGTGCTAGTCCATTTATCAACTTGTCTTTTGGTTCCTTTTCCAGGGCGGAAAATCTTTCCTAGCCGTCGCAGTAATTCTTTCTTTTTCTTATGGCCATGTTTCCCAATTGCCACTTTTTCATTAGGGCTTGTACTTAGAAGTCTCATAGCAATTTTCTCCCGCACTACTTTTTACCGCTGCCATAATATTCCTAGACCTTCACTTCATATTTTTAGCTATCCCCTTAGCCTGTCATTTCGTTTTTCTAAACTTTTTGCCACTATCACATCTTCACCGACCGCTTTCTGCATCCCTTCCTCTTTTCTATAATCTGGACGACCGCTTTTTCTCAAATTCCTTGCCAATCATTTTTGCTTAGCCTTACCTTACTCTTCTAACTGCCTTCCACGTGGTACCTTTGCCCATTTCTCTCAACAACGGCATATCCCCTTTTTCGTATTTTTTTTTTAATTTTATCCGACGGTCATGAAACTTGTCTGCTGAATTTATTTTTTTTTTTCAAAAATATTGCAGTACTTTTGATTTAGTCGTAATAACTACGTAAGTCCTTCAAATTTACGATTAAACTTATTAGTTTTATTTTTCTTTGCGGATGACAGCGTGTGATTGATTGTCAGAACTTTATATCTGTCTAGCCAGTCTAAGTATTTACCTCCGTCCATCATACCAGTAGTAGTATTAATGCACCATGGGGACAACTCCTGACTACGGGTATGAAGCAAACAGGATTTTTAGCTATCTCCGCAAAGTATATCTACTAATTGCTAAATGCCAATTAGGGATGGATCAGCAGTTTAGACTATATTTGTATATCTAAATTGAAAAGATATGGCCGTTAAATAGTACATGGCAATTGAAAATTTTACTAAGTTATACAAAATGTACATTATACATGGTTATACAAATATACCTTATGCAAGGCTTTACGTATTTACATGATTATACAAATTATATTATTATGCAAGTGCACAGTCGTACAAAACTTTAAAAGAATTTTCGAGCAAATGCACAGTTAAGCTAGCAAATACTCAATATTCTGTTATTCCCAAATAGTTTGCTCTACGGCATGATTATGAATACTAAATGCACTTTTACATGCATTATACAGGGATCTCAGTTAGAAATGACTGAGACTGAGTATACTAATGCATTAGAATTTGCAATTAAAAGAGCATGCATTAAAATGTACATTAAGAGAAAAGTTCCTTTTAAAGGGGTTTTTTTTTTTTTTTTTTTTTTTTTTACTTGAATACAAGCGCTTCAGCTAGTTTCTCCGAGAAATAAACTCTAAATTTTCGCACTGCACGTAATAAGGCCTTCCACTTCAGTTACCGGAGTAATTTCTTCGCGCTAGACCTAGAGTACTATTAAAATACGCTATTGGGTGCCCCTTCTTCATCATACTGCTTCTATTGAACAATCAGATGTATCCGGGCAAATTTGGAAATCAAGCATTGTCAAAATCGGGATTACAATTAATCCCTATTCTAGGATCTGGAAGGCCATGCCAAAGCGTTTAAAACATTGCCTTTTTCCTTGTTTAACTCTAAAAGGGGCTTGGCTACGTCTGAAAATTTTTATATAAACGTTCTGAGTGACCTTAAATCTTGAATACCTTCACAAGCAAATTTACATTTCTTGGTATTTGCTTTTACTGGTGTATCTTTTAATATAGAAAATACTTCCCGAAAGAATATAGGGATTCCTAGATTACAATTATATTATCTAGATACATTAAACAATTTTTACCACGACCGACTGAAGCATGATATCCATTGGCTCCTGAAATATTTCTAGACTGTTCGATAACTCAAAGATCAATATAAAAACGCATAAGTCCCTGATTTCGTGATAAAGGCGATTTTACTAACACCTTTCGGCTTGAAACTAATATTAGAATAAATATTTTATTTTTCAGGTGCTACCCACAGATAATACCCGCTTAATGAAACCTAAAAACAAGGTGAACCCGATCGTTTCAGACTCCTGCCAGCCCCAGAACCAAGTTCCGGATCCTGAGCTGAAGGAGAATAATTCGCAGAATATTGTTCCGAGCCACGAAGAAGCTCGGCGGAAACCCTTGAGGCCTTCCAGTCTCTTGTCCGAGGTTAGACCTCTGGACAATGTCCCTCAAAGTCCGGAGAATGACCACCGGCCGTCAGAGGAGTACGATGCTCCCTGGGAGTTCAAGTCCAACATTCTGAGGCCTTCCGTCAACGGGTCCATTTCGGTTCCAGAGAGGCTATCTCAGCCAATTTCCAATCAAAGCCAGTTGCCGTCTTCCTCCACACACGATAAACTGGAAAGCGAGGACCAGAAAGATAAGGACCTTCCAGTAGCTCTGCCCAAGGCAACTACAAAGCCAACTGGTAAGTTTGAAGAACTTTGTTTTCTGTACTTATATACCTAATATACTCTGGTAGAAGAAGCTGTACCCGTTTTCAGGTTTCAAATACTGCAATTTTATAAATAAGTTATCTTTTTACTGTTACTATGAGAACTGTGTAGTTTATATTCTTTTGTATGAATGCAAGTGGTTCCATTTAAAATCCATTTTGACAAGGTGAGCAGGACACTAACTGAATAATATTTCACCATCCGAAGCAATTCTGACGGATAGTTTACTTTTCAGCTTTGCGTCTATATTTCTGTCATCTGTCAATACAGAGATGAAAATTTGAAGATGCTAAGAAAGGCCTGCATGAACGTATCAAAATTAGTCTGTTCGTATACATTTTAATTGAATACTTTTTTTCTTTTATGAAGGATATGCATTTTTTCCTCCCGCTGGGTTATTTATTCTCGCCCATATACTGAGTACATGAGAATTACATTAGTTTCGTATTCGTGATCCAAATCTCACCTCTTGACCTCAGTGAAATAATGCTGAGAAAATTATTATGCAAATGCCCGATTAAGATCATTTATTAATCATTATCGTGCCCCTAGTTCTTTCTTCTGCAACAATATGAAGTATAGCAAAATTTGGCCATATTTAGCCCTTTGGAAGGCGCAGTTTATTAGTGAGATATTTTTCTAAGCTTAGGTCTAGTTGAGGAAAGTAACTACGCCAATTGAAGGGTTTAGTGATTTATTTATTTTTTTTTAATTCAAAGCAAAATGCTCAGTTGTATTTTTATTTGTTTGTTTATTTATTTCTGTAGCAGCTTTATGCACTCTAAAAGAGGAAAATTTTTAATTTAGTTTTACACTTACCTGATTTATTTTTCTTTCACTGAACATGTATTTTTGAAACGTTAACGTCTAGATTTTCAGTATTATATATAGAGTGACTGAACCTTTTTGGACCATGGCCGTGAGTAAATTTAAACATTTTGCATGGTATAAGTGTATAGCCATTCATTAAATATATCAAGTAATATAAATAAGAAACGTGGCTGAAATCTGATGAATAAAATTATTCAGTAATTATTTTTATGATGTAATTAGAAAACGTATTGTTAGACAGTTTCATTTTTTTCAATCTTTTAGTTAACGATTATCGGAAACCTCGTAATGGCCTTTAATTTGTCACCTTCATTCTTGATTCCTGTCATGCAAAGCTTCAAAACGTTTTGTAAAATATTATGCAATTTGTGATTTATGAATAAAAAAATTATGTTCTAGAAAAATTTGTATAGTTCTGAAAGCTGCCAAACTTTAAGCTGGAAATACATAGGTAGTCTAATATACAGGTAGTCTTAAAGAAATTTCTCCTTTGTCTACCCCCAGCCCCCCAACTACATTTATGTGTTTTGCAAACTGATGTCGAAATGCGAAGGGCTAAACAGCTGATTCCACCCTCCGCTAGCATTTCAACATAATTCCTATCGCTGTAGTCGTCATATTCATAAACCTCTTTCACCTAAGAAATTCAGCTAGAATTGTCTGTAGCGGTCTCCTAATTGCCTGAACTCCCGTCCCATTTCTCTGCTAGAATCGCCGATTTGGGAAAACCCCAAAGGCATTTCAACGCCATAATGTGCCGTCGAAGAGAATTCGAACCTAGACCCCTGAAACATTCTATAGAAAGTGGGGGATGTTTCGGCACTTTATTCCAGCGGGAACACCTATGATACCAGTCGTATTAACGCGTATACTCTTTCCGTCCTCTATCCTCTGTAGAAACGTTCTTCCCTAGAACTTACTTTCCTTGCAATCCGAATACATTAATTTCTAAGGAAACCGAATCTGCCGTGAGAGACTCATAAATATTCAGTGCTGCTCCAGAAATCCACTGCATGAATATTTATAGAAGTACGATATTTAATAAGTTTTTGAGATTTCATCGTTGTGCCTTTCCTATTTACGGTACGTTTGGCGCGCCTTTTAAAATTCATCGTGAAATACTGGAATTCCCATTAGTGCCGTCATAATTCGAGTTCTTTCTCTTATCTTTACTCTGCTGAAACACATAGTTCCAAGAAGTAGTCTTGTGCTGTTTAGAGTGCTTATATATGGTATGGTGTTCGGGGTGAACAAAGTAAAAGAAATACTGAAATGAACATGACGTTGCAGATCAACAAGGGATACATAAGAGGAAATCAGTATACAGTAATATCACTAAATCAATAAAAGCCAAGAATGTAGTACAAAAAATGCAAAAATTGCCAACTGCAGAGCAATGGTCACATTATTACTGTATTACCATTAAAAATTTTTTAATGTATTTTGTTTGATTTTGGACTGTACTGATCATTTTTTGGTATTTCTTGAATTTCGGTTAGGTTTGGTGTGCCTCTGCTTCCGCAGTGGTTAAGGAATATTTTATCAAGGGCTTAACAGAAATTTGGAAGGGAGAGCAGTCTGTAAACTTCAGTTTGCGATCTAGTACCTCAACGAAGATTTTTAAAGATATTTAAAAAAATTATAAAGTAAAAAGAAAACTTCAATCTGATCTTGGATGCCAGATTTCAGTTTAATCATTAAAAACCTTTAGTGGTTAAAATTATATATATGTATAATAAAAGCAAATTTCAGAGAAGTATTGATGTGGGAACACTGAGACGTAGAAACGTAGATCCATATTTTGAAGAAGAAGAATACTGAAATGCCGATCCACAATGAATAAGAAATTTGGCATTCGAGTTAGATTTAAATTATATTTATATTTAAACTGACATTTGTCGCAACAATTCATTTGACTCTCTAATCGTACCTATTCAGGAACATTTACATTTTTGATAATATTGTGATAGGAAGCGAGCACAGCGAAATTACGTCCAAAGCAGAGAATAGAGAGAGAAGCTAAAGTGCGTAGTTATCCAATATGGAAGCTCATGAAGAGGAGGGTTTTGATTTGAGTTAGAAAGGTTTCAGTTCGCAGAGTTCAAGTTCCCAATTATTAGTTACGCAATCATTTAGTTCCAATTATAGAAGTATTTTAAATGACGAACATATTAATGTTTTGGTAATGTCCATTTTTTTAAATTTAATTTTCGACAAATAACGAAATCTAACTTTTAATTCCGTGTCCCGGTTCCTATACTTATATTTGGGAAAGTTTTATACTCGTATTTCGGCAAAATTAATCGGAATACTTAATTTTTTTTAATTTGCAGTTTTTGATGTCATTTTCAACTTGTCTTGAGAGAATGGTTAAGTTAGAATATTTCCAGAAAATAAGTTTAAATGAAGTGCTGCAAAAATATAAGAAAAATTAGTTTATATGAAGTGCAGCAAAAATATAAGAAAAATGAGTTTAAATGAAGTACAGCAAAAATATAAGAAAAATAAGTTTAAATGAAGTGCAGCCGTATAAGAAAGTCACTTCCACATCAGATTTATTTTGACTTTTGTGGGTATACATACGTGCATCTTGATATATTTCCAAAAAATTAAGGCTATACATTAAAAGTACATGAATCTCGGCATTAAAAATCAAGAAAGTTAGACATTAAAAATCAAGAAAATTGCTCTTTCTAATGGCAGTTTTGGGAAATTTGGGCTTTCTTAGCAAAACCATGTGCCCATCTGAAAAGCTTAATTATTCAAGGACGAGTGAGGATTTATTTTAGTAGATAGTTACAATAAGTATTTTCCTAAAATGACAGTACTTTCTATTTTGCGATTACGCGAAATGTGTAAATTGACAACAACAAACATCTCGAAAAGATTTCCCGCGAATTGCTAAAAAGAAAGAATAAAGTACAAAATTTGGAAGAGTTAACACGAAGTTTAGCAGTTTCCCTGTAAATCCATGTTTTGTCATAATCCCCTCATAATATTCTTACGTATCCCTAATGAAACCAAGCTTTTAAAACTATGAACTGCGTTTAGAACTGCATAAAATTTTAAGATTTTCTTTTAAATAAATAATTCTGTGATTTAATGGAAACATAGTGCAGGTCTAGAACTATGATATAAATGCCTTTCAGTATATTGCTTATTGGCTAGAATCTTATTATACGGCTCTTTCTCAGAATCTTTTAGTAACTGATGTCTTTTTAGTGGATATATGTTTCTAGAATTGAATATGTTTTACTTTATAACTAAAAAAGAAATGAATTGTATCCTCTTCAAATGAGTAGCGGAAGTAATGCACATTCCTTACGAAAATGAAAATTTCCATTCGATAAGCATCAACCTAGCTAGTGTTTAACATCATTCACTCTTGAATTTTATCGCATGTAAAGTAATGATTATATCGCATGGTTAATGGCTGATATGTATTCATATGCACACAACACCATACTTAAACTGAATTCTGAAATTTTCAAAATTAATATGAGCGTATTTTACGGTGACCTTTTTTTCCCAGCATCGAACAAGTCAGTTGTGAATAATAATGTTACATGCATCAACTTTGAGTTTATTAAAAGCCGTTAAAATATAATAACCGAAATTTTAAGTACGTGCTAAACGAAACTGAGAAATGACCATTTAGTCCGAAGCATAAACGTCCGTAGATAATCTTGCCCAAGTGGAATAGTTCAGATTTTAATAACTGAAAGTTGCCTGTCTGGAGTAGACTATGTCACAGGTTAATTTTACGTGGAATAAAAGGAACAGATTTACCAAAATCCCGAAGCGCTTGTCATCGACTCAAGTCAAGAGCATGCCTTCCCTTTCCGCTCGACCTAAAATTCAATTTATTAAACTACGTTCATCTCATCGTATGCTTCTCCGACGAAAATGCCATCGAAAATCATCACCCGAATTGCCAATACTTACCCCGGAGCTTTAATTTTGGGTGCTTGAAAGAGGGCGTGTGAATAACTCCACCGTTTGATGGTATTTCAAGGCATTGTGATTGGAAAATAGGCGGTCCGTTTTAATCTGACGCTTGACTGCTAGCAAACGCGTCCTTTCTACTGGGGGGATTAGCTGGGGGTGGTAGTTTGGAGACGCGTTTTGACGTCTTGCGAGA